TACTTATCGGCTCAAACAGAAATCAGAAGGCCGTACTTACCTTAGAACTGTTAACAAAAACCGTGGGAGAGGAAGATTCCATAACCGACCACCTAGAAAGTGAAGCTTTAATGGAAGCATCTTCTGTAGAAAGCATTGTAACGAGCTATATTACACATGAACAACTTTCCTTTACAATTTATTTTTAAATTCTTGGCGCTCAACCAGGACCCTTCCGAAGTATTGTGCACTGTGACCTAAGCTCGTAGGGCAGAATCTGACCCCTTTTCGTATCTCAGCTGACTGCTCAAGGGTGCGGAAGTTATACGGTTAGCTGAAGCATCTTAAATGTTTCTTTACGCGGCAGCAGAGGAAATGTGAGCTCGCATATTCCAATCGAATGTTGTAGATTACAGGAGCGTTTCCAAACAGTCTCCATGCGAGCGGTGTAGCGATGGAGCTTGCTTATCATTACTGGCCTAGTAGTTAACAAACTTTCCATGCCGATAAACCTTTAGCAGTAGAGAGGTTCCCAGGAACGTTTCTGTGCGCGAATATATTTAGAGTCAAGATGTGGACATCCGAGTGAATGGTTTACGATGATTGCGGATTTCCAAATTTTAACGAAGTAGCGCCAAAAATTTGCTCTAAATGATTCAAAGTCCTTATACTTATTGCTTATATTTTTATTCCATCTTCACACCAAATTAATAAACAGCTCTTGGACTAGTTGTGTTCTTCCTAGTAACGCAGAAGATGAGACGGGCTGACTAAGCGGGCTGATAAGTCAGGATAGTGACTCCAAAGCCGAAGTCGAAAAAAAAAACAGCTATTCTCTGTTCAAATTCCAATCATATCAGAATGCCCGGAAGATTTTACAGAATTTTCCATTCTTGCTGACAGATACTGTAAAACGGTTAATTGGTTTATTAGAGTTATATTATCACCTTGAGAACATGAGCTTTATCCTCCAAGACTCCCAAGATGAGCAGTTCGACGTTCCGGCTCCCCGAATGCCCAGATAAGAGTATGTCATGCCAGAAGCCCTAGCCTTGTAGCTGTTTCAGTTGCTAGGTGGTTCCCTGATCCATATAGGTCAGCGATTGCCCATGGTGAAAACTTAGCAAGCCCTGTCAGGGCTTCTAACAAGGGAAGGATACTTAGTGGCCG